TATAGTTGTGACTAAGGATGCAACTATTGTGAGGAAGAAGACTCAGTGACTGGATCTGGAAGCCTCTCAAGTATAGCTTTCATGATGGACTTAATATCATGCATGTCAGTCTTCAATTCCTTCACTTTGGTCTCCATTTCTTGATAGCCTTTAGGTTGAAACAAGAGGAACTTGTGAAGTGTCAGCAAAAGGTATTGAACCATAAGCAAACTCAGATGTTGCAGTTAGAGCAAAAAGTGTAGCAAGCCGTATCTTGGTCTTATACCAATAAACATGGGTCCGAGTGGTTTACAGCCTTCCAATAGCCTTAAACCATGCTACTAGATCAAACTCCAAATGGGATGATGGATCATTATCGTACTTCTACGATAAAGTAGATGTGTATGATTCCTATAAATAGATAAGGAAATGACATTTATATTAAATAAATTGATAAGTAACATATAAATATATACAATAATATAATGAAAATAAATTGACCCATTTTTATTACTTTAACAATTTTTGACTTGTTGTCCATAAACTCTTTAATCCCTTTCTATCGCTTGTGAGTGCACTCAAAACACCAAGAGAATGTCATCGATCTTTGTAGCAACTTGGACTATAATCACAACAAGACAATAAGAACAGAAAACGCATCATCACCAATTTACCATTTTTTGCAATATTCAATAGCACAATGACAACATGTTTTCAAATCGTAAAACATTGACAACACATAGCATAGTCATAAGAGAAACATATGCACCATCAAAAATATGAATGGCCCACAGTCATCAACAACAGAATGACAAAAACAAAAGACTCACATTATCTTAATACGAGTTAAGAACATGTACCATTTTCTTTTGATGTAATGTAAAAGTCAAAGAAACTTCTGTGTGTTTTGCTATGTTGTCATTTTTCTCTGTGAGGTTGTTCCACTGGGCATCCTTGGATTAACATCGCCACTAGGACGTGGCCTAAACAATATTGATTAGTTGGTCCTAAACCTCTACAATGATCTAGGGGCACGCCTTCCTCTTGGTCAAAAGGATATCGTGACGAGTACTTGCATCCTTCTTGGCTTTGTTGTGCTCGTTCGCTAATAGATCTTTTAGCAAGTCCTTACAAATCTTCTCCCATATATTATGGACCATTGAAGCATTAGTAGGAGCCCATGAAAAGGACTCTTACATTAAAAATGAATATTTATATTAGTATTGTTAAGGAAAATCCTGATAAATATACAATAACAATATGGTACCTCAAATTTACACCACATGATGTCTTTTACCACGGTAGGAATCAACCTCCATGTAGGCCAAGGCTCACAAAAGTGACTCTTGATTATTCTTGTGATGGTTGGAGTTACTCCAGTCTCTACAAAAGTAATACAAATTAATACATCTTTATTAAAACGTATTAATGAAATTACTACATACAATGAAATAAGTTAATAACTGGAAATTACCTCTCTTCGATAGGATGCAAAAGGATATGTGGGTAAGCATGGGTAAGCATACACTAGGCACTTGGCCCTTAGACTACGCAGCAGAGTTTGATGCACCTACAGTAACAGTCGAAATTGGCAGTGTTACCTTTAGGTTGAATGGAGTAGCCATTGGTGTGGACATTGATGGCCTTGAGGATTGAGGTGGCATTAAAGATCGCAAAAGAAATGGTGTAAAGCAAGGAGGTGGAATCGGAGGTTGCATAGCTGAATTACCTATGGCATTCGACCATGCTCGAAGGTCGACAATAGTCTTATAGTTAACCATGACAATGAAAAAATCTGTCAACACATTACCGACAGATCATTATTGTTAAGGTAAAATACCCTAAGCTCCCTAAGTTTTGATCGAAATTGCACAAAGGTCCATTAGTTTTTAATTTGTACACTTCATCTTAAAAAAATATTTTTCGCTAGATACATAAGTCTAACCGTTAGTATTTTCATCAACTTGCTGATGTGGCAAAGGTAGAAAGATAATGTTATTCTTGATTAATTTTTATAATTACAATTATATAATTTTATTATTTTTTATTAATTAAAAAAAAAGCTCTTCATTGGGAACCATCGGTGCTCCCCTCTTTTGAGATCACTGAGAGGTGCTCTTTTCCCTTAAGGAGTTGGGTAGCACTGATCGATGCTCTCTATTTTCCCGTTAGACTAAACTAGAAGTTATGTGGAAACCTCTTACTAATGGATCTTTTAAGTTCAATGTGGGTGGTACATCAAGTGGTAATCTAAGAGAAGCTGGTATTGGAGATGTTTTAAGGGACAAAGGAGGTTAAGTTTTAATCTGTTTCTCTATGTCTGTAGAAGTTATGGATGTTAGTGCAACAGAGTCTAAAGCCATTTGGAAGGCTTTGCAAATCTTTGTTGCTTCTAAATGGGCCTTCCACAAACTTATCTTGAAAAGTGACTATAAAAACAAAGTGAATGGGTGCTTGGAACCATTCTTCAGTCCTTGAAAATTAAGGTTTACCTTGATTCAAGTTTATTATTTCAAAGCTAACCTTTCAAATTGAGAAATTGTGAAAATTATGAAGTATGCTTATGACATCACTTATTCCTTAGCAAAGTAAAAGGTACAAACACCAATGGATTTTATTTGGATACTTTTTTATGAAAGTTATGATATTTAATTGTTGCTTGTGTTTTCCTTACAACAATGATTTTTATTTGCAATGTTCCCCCAAGGTATTTTTGATGGTGGGCTGTGGAACTCTTTAGTTAAGTTAGATTGTTGATGGTTTATGTTGTTGCTTTTTAATGTTTTTGGTTTTTTCTCATAGCCCATAATTGCTTTATTGTTCAATCTTTCTAGCCTGAATTGGTTGATTGGTTTGGGGTTCTCTTGGTCTTTGACTTGTTGTGAAATTAAAGGTTGATGTTGGGTGCTTTTGTGTTGCCTTTGTGTATGTAGATATTTAATTTTGGTTAATATCTATTTTCTAAAGAATTATTTTATAGCATAATGTTGTACAAAGAACAAGGAGAACAACTATTACAAGTGAAACATTATTTCATGTAAAACAACTAGAACAAGTGAAACACTACTTCACGCAGAATAACCATTTCATACGGATAGTAGTGAAAGCACCCCGTAACAAGTGACAGGGTTCATGGGTTACTTTCACTTTGGGATGTTTAGGAGAGTTTGGCTTGATGGTTCAGATGTGAAGATAGTTAAAAGATCTTTCTCTTAACCTTTTCTTGAAGTACAAGTATTTCCCTCTTTTACCTTGTTCTCTTAGGCATGTTCATGTACAGTTTTTTCTCTTATACCTTTTCATGTATACCTCTTCTCTTATATCTTTTACTCAAGAATAAATCTTCTTATACCTAATTACTTCAATGGTCACATAATAAGTTTCCAATCATTACTCGGCATTACATCTTAATAACAGTTACCCAACATTAAAACTTTTCTTAAAAATATCATTCATTATGTGCATTAAAGCCTTTTCTTGTAACCACCACTTTTGGCACAATATATACAGTCTTCACAATTCATTTAGGGATTTGGCTTCTACTTCGAGCTAATAGATTCTCCTATAGAGCTTCTCTCTCTAATTTTCTTCTACTCCCTAATTCTTTTCTTACTCTCTTTTACTTATCACGATACTCAATACTTCAGGAACCGCTCCAATCTTCCTCTCCGTCGCCTATGACTCATCTTTTTATTTATTTGCAATACTTCATCTCCCAATTACAATAACCCCCTTTATAGTGTACAAGGGCCTTTACATCTTTTATTATTTATTACCATGACAGATGTATTCTAGTACCATGTTCTAGTTTTTTCATTCTGATTCCTCGTGTTGTTGGGGAGGAGGTTGTGCTTACCTCTATGTTTTTGTTCTAGTGTTGGGGGTACTAACGTGTTAGCTTTTGATGTTGCACCTTTTGTTCTTGCAACACTTGAAAAAGACGAAGATGTCCCTTAATAATGAATACATCTTTTGATTTAGTTAAAAAAAATTCTAAATGGAAGGTGAATCTAGAGTTGCATCGATCTCAAATCATTCCCTTGCAATACAAAAAGTAAACATTAATTATTTTAAAAAATACATGTTGAACTATAGATACTTAATAGAGTAAATAAAGTGGTTCAAAAAATGGAGAAAATAAAGAATATTTAGAAAAAAATATGGAGAATAAATAATGTTTTTTATGAACCCTAAAGTGGTGTATATTTAGACTATAGAAATACTTGAATGTTTTGTTTCTTTTTTAATTAAAGAATATAAAAATGAATGATAATAAGATCATAGTTAGCGATCATTACCTACAGTTGAAAAAGAATTACTTAAGAGCAATAATATTTTCCATACATTGACATGGCAATCAAATGATTGAATTAAACCAGTAATCTATAGGTCTATCTAACAAGTTGCTCTTCCCAATAATTTTCCTTTTTTCCTTTAGCTCATGATGAAATACTTTTTCTCCACTTTGGCTTTAAGAATTTAAGTTCGCTCCTTTCCCTCCATCGTTGGCACCTCTCACCTCTTATATTAAACTTTGTCAAATCCAATCAAAAGCTTACTTTTTCCTACAAAAGGAAAGATCGGACTAGACAGCTTTGATCCCATGAATCTCTTGACGAGATTTTTGTTTCCCATGAGACTTGTTTCAGGACTTGCATTTCCAAGAAACTGCAATGATGTCCCAACTGGAAGTCATGCAAAGAAAGAAATGTAAAATAGAGAGAATAAAATGAAGAAACAAATAAACAGACGGAGTTGATAAGGATGAAGATGAGGGGAAAAATGGACTTTAGGATTTATATACTTCAATATCTCAGGATCATGTTACGGAATTGCATGCCGGACAAATATGCTTTTTTCCTTCCTGAGCACCCATAAAGAACCATACCTAACATCCCAGGCAGGTTGATAAATGTAGTCTTCAATGTTTTTGACACAGGAACTTCAAACTAATAGCTAAAGAAATGACAAAAAAACAACTAGAGTTGAACTAGCTAGATGTATTGGAGATGCATGATCCATAAAAAAAAGAAGATTTCACATTGCTGATTTTCCATTTTGTTGAAGAAATAAACAAGGTTTAGCCAGCACAGTATAAAAATACAAGCTCCATAAATTTATTTTGCCCTTCAATTCCTTTTCAATTTTCATTTCATTAAAGAAATAAGTTGAAATTTTGTACATTATATGCTGACGTCTTCATCCTTTTGCTTAAGATCGATCCAAAGTAAGTCATCTCAGCATTTTGCTAACGCTCAGAGAAAGCCATCAATATCATGTGCAAAAGCAGACACCATGATTTTGGAATTTACAACACTTTGTTGACTGTTTGAGGGAAAGAAGCTACAAGCTCATCTCCTCTGGTAGGCTTAGTTCAAGAAAGTATAGGCTGCATGCAAAACCGTAGCAGAGATGTGTAAAAGGTTTGTTCATGAGAAAAAAATAAAAAAATAAACAGGAAAATGCAATTAGTGAAATGTGATTGGAAACTAACCAGCAAAATAAACCCACAGGAATTTATACAAGTACAATTTACTACATGGTTCTGCTAAAGTTATTTGCCTGGCTATTGTGGTAATCATGTGCTTGCTTGAATTAATATTCCCTTTCCCCATTGGGCAAGTAGTTATAGTTTTTTTCAACATATGAGTTAAAAAACACGCTTTGTGTGATTTTAATCTCTCCTTGTGATAACCAGAATTTGAATGACAATTTGAATTGCATGTGCATATGAGCTAAGCAATGAAAACAAGAAGCTTTTGAACTGTTTTCTGAAACAGCGTACACATTGCTATGAATTTTATTACCTTGCAGACATGAAAGCCATTCCAAAGAAAACAGCCTTGACAGCTTGCTTCTGCCCCGCATAATCAAATGCCAATGGCAGCATTTCATGCAATGTTAGGAAGGCCATCACCCCACCAACTGAAATTTTAACATAATTCAGAGCAACAGATTGTCACAAGATTATAACAGGGAGGAAGGTAGATTCTACATTGGTTTTTTTTCCCAATCAGATCAGATCTGAGCAATCGATGGGACTACAAACCTGATCCTAACAAGCCCTCAAGAATTTCAGGACTTAAGCTGCTTGGGAACAGATAAGCTGTAGCGCAAGAAAAAAGAAAAATCAACAAAGTCAGTTATTGTGACATTTATAAAGAACAAAATCTTGCAAGCAGGGCATCTAAATTCACCATGAACTACAACAGTGTAAATTATAATCAATCAAAAAAAAAGTTTAAATTATATTCAGACCTATAGACAAATTATTTTCGACAACAAATAAATAGAAAAAGATAAGAACATTCCCTATATACAAAGATGAAACAGGCATTGTGTTTAGTCCACATAGTTCACAGTGCTTTCCCGATATTGAGGCTTACAACTCATAACCATCATTTACATTTCAGTTAAAAGAAAAGCATTTCACTTATAGACTTCACGTTCTTAAAGAGACAACCTTCATTTTCTTTGTTCTAGTTTTCTTTCTATAAGGGAATTTTTTTGTTTTAGTTTTATTTTTTCACTATTTTATCTTTTTCTGGTACTTCAAGGAAAGGCTGTTCACTTACCAACAATTACGACACCAAGTGGCTCAGCAAAACCAGAAAGCGTTGCCAATTTGAATGCCTGCCACTTGCTGACAAATGAATCCAAACCAACCAGTTAACAATTTCATCATACAAATAAGTTCTAACTCGTTTACATAGTTACAAAAGGAAAGACCACTTTAAAAGCATTAAAAGAGTTAATCCAACAATCTCACAATGCTAATGCCTGTGACAGAACAGGCAAACATAATCCAATTATCATGGCAGGAGATAAACATACTGCCATGCCTGGATGACTGTAGAATGGATGGAAAAAGCTTGTAATGATCCACCCAATAAACAAGAACAGTTGAACTACACCTAAAGGACCATTTTGAAATTCCTTCCCCAACAACAGTGCTTGATGAAGTCAAAAACAATATAAGGTAGGCCTGGGAAAAAGCAAAGTTACAAACACAGAACTTAAGAAGTATACTACTCCAATCATCAACACAAACTATTTCATAGACACACACACAGTACTGTCAATTATGAGAATTTCATCACCATCCTTACAATACATTTTAGCACCTAACCATAACCATCATCTCCAACTGGCATTATCACCTGCACTATCGTCTGTAATATCACCACCGTCACTCAGTAAAATCCAGGTAAAATCAATATTAGTGCCTCCTTACAACCAGCGTTTTACCTAAGACCACCATCTATACATCACATTGTCAACCCTTACACTTACAGCCATTGTTCCACAATCATTGCCACTGGCATGAACCTCAAGTACCACTTCTTTCACACTGCACCAAGCAAAATCTTTTGGCAGCCCATTATACTTACCAGAGAGCAGAAGAAAATAATTAAATGAAAAAATATATCATTTTCCCTTCCTTTTTCACCATTAATCTATTTGCTAGATGTTTGAGATCCACAAAGGGACCGTAACTCTCTCCCATTGCATAAACCCCATCTTCCCTCCCCAAACTTCAGACCTATGACCTCCAAGTTGAAAGTCCGTAATTCTAACTATTTGCATGTCCACTTCGGGGCCCTTAACATGGATTTCCAAGAAGCTGAACTGATCAATGTCTCAACAAATTCTCACCTTTGGGTAGCAAAATAAACAGGAAGAGCAACAGCAACACCCTGTAAAATGAACATCAAGATGTTAAACAACAAAATACTTACTCACTGATTATATTTATCTACATAACCAATCCAGGTTTGACCAATTTATGAAAAATTTCAACATGCATGCATAAACTGATTTAAGAAACGCAGCCTAATTTTCTATACAACAGCCATCCAAGAAAACTAGTATGTGTAAGCACCGGTTAACAGAATTTAAGCAGTTTCCTGAAATTCAGACCATTCTGGCCAGTTCAACTGGTTGAACAGGCGACTTGTAAGGCCTGGAACCCTTTACAAAGAGGTCAACCCTGTCATACTGATTCCTGTTCATTAAAACCAAATTATAAATTTTTTTTGCAAGTGATGAGACGTAAACCTTGCCCTGCTAGTTGATGAATCAATTATAAAACATCAACCAAAATGCACATTGTTGTCATTATTACCATATTCAATATATTTTTGTAATCAGAAAACATATGTTATTTTGAACTAGTTAAACTGGGAACCAGCAATATAAGTGGGTTGCTTCCAAGACCAATTTTTAAAAATACTGGATTTAAGAAACGTACCTCTGGGATGTTGTGCAAAGCAATGGCCAAAGCCAAATTAAGACCAACACGAAGGCCCTACAAGAGACAGATATAGGCAAGTAAAGAGTTTCATTAGCATACATCTAAAAGATCAGGGGCTCTTGATAAGAACTATATATCAAACCAATATTCCTACAGTAAATAAGTAACTTCTACTAGCCAACATGAATGCAACATAGTAACCAACAAGTTTGCTAGTATCAAGAAGATATTCCTTTAAAATATAATAATGTATTTTAGAACCAACATTTCTTTCCAATTAGAAGTATGTTCCAACTTGTTGAATTGTGTATTGAAATTACTTCCATGAAACAATAAGTTACTCGCCATCATATATCAATAGGCATGGTAGCATTTCGCTTTTCTTCCTAGAGTGTGGGTGAGGGGGGAGGGATTTTGATTGGCTACAGAATCAACTCAATCCAAACAAAGAGGTTCTATCGAGTAGATTCAAATCAAATAGTGAATAATTCAATCATCATCCTTGGCACATCAATAATTTAAAATCATAGAAAAATCACTAAAGAATAATGGTCTTTAAGCGGGTAACATTTAAGGATAAAGCATTCAAAATGCCAAGAACCATTGATAACCATTAAAAGGTAAAATTATCATTCAAGAAAACTGCTTCTGGAGTTTGAAAAAAAAAACCAAAAAAAAAAAAGAAAAGCAAACAGCTGCTAAATTAACCAGCTAAGAAGATGAGAAAAGTAAGTTAAGCTATTCTTGCTTCAATCTCAACCCATTTTAGTTGTAGAACATCCCCTGTAATAAATTTAAATAAATATTTGCACAGTGAATAAAGTGGGTTAGGACTACCTTCATGGATCCAAGGAAAACTGCCATCCCCTCTGGGAAATTATGCAAGCTTATGCCTGCCAGATATGAGCACTTCTTACGGTTAGTAAAAGGCAAAAGCCTAAACCAAATAAAAGGAACCACCAAGAGCTTAGATTTTAGATTTATCCCTTGATTAATACAAATTTTCAAAACTTTATATATTAATATTTGAGCAATCAAGTTAGAGTTTTAGATCTCCAATCCCTTCATAATACAAATTATCAAAACTTTATATATAAATATTCAAGCAACCAAGTTGCATGTTTAGATCTCCATCCCTTGATTAATACAAATTGTTGAAACTTTAAGTACAATATTCGAGCCACCAAGCTTACCTAAAACCATTAATAATACAATTTTTAAAGCAGAGGAAGAATGAAATAGTAAGCCTTACTCAGAATCACAAGTTAAATCAAGCATCTTTCAGCACAAAATAAATTTAGGCCACAAACTAAAAGCAATCAAAGATATGGTAGCAAGTAACAAACAATTCACTCTATGCTTTCCTAATCCAGCAGAAAAATAACTCATAAACAGCCTTCAGGTATTGAACATCATGTATAAAAACAAGAATGGAATTTTATAATTTATCATTGACCACATAAAATTTGATAATATTAGATAATAAAGCCTGTACCCTTTCCTTTTTTTTTTTTTTTTTGAAAGATGCCTATAACCTTTACTTGAAGCTATATCAGTCAAATAGGCATTGAAATAATGAACTATAATGGCCAATTTCATGGATTGTTTGTCATCAAATATGCATAATTGGTATAGCAATAGATTTGAAACATGTCTAAAAGACAGTGTTACCTATTGCTGTAATAATTCCACTAAATAAAACCTGGCGACGATGCTTTTTCATTATGTCCTTGCCCCCTTCATCACTGTTTTTCTGCTCTCAAGAGCAATATCAAGCCGTTAATACACCATTCAACATTTTAGGCTAAATTCAGGTGCATCACATGCCAACTTGGAAAAATCATGCAGTAATATAACACATTAATATCATCCAAACCTTTTTGCTTTTCACCTCAGAACTCTGAGAAAGTATTGGTTCTGGTATAAAATTGGCAACCACGGCAAAGAAGATAACACCAGCAAAAAACTGCACTATTGAAGAACTAGAAATTAGCTTCAGAGAGAATACAAAAGGATCATGACATAGAGGTTATGCACTGTAATTAGAATAAAACTGATAAGATATAGCTAACCCATAGGTTGCCTTTTAAGAACCCTATTGAGTTCATAGCATTATGAGCCAAATCAAGGAATGATATGCTCAACATTAGACCTGCAGCAAAACCCTGCATGAAGAAGACACCAGGGTATTAGACAAGATATCTGAATAAAATCTCTCTACTTCTTGAAACAAAAGAGAAAAGGTCAATATACAGAAGGCTCTACCTTTAACAGATTTTTTTAAATGTTGCCTAGTATTCTTTGATTAAATAAATATAAACTGGGAAATTATAACAGAGAAGGACTTACAATAATGTAAGGGAAAAACCTAAGCGGCTAAGCAAATAAAAATCATCCCAACAAATGTTCTGGTGTAGAATCCTTTAACAAATGATTCATTGAAAACAAAGATGTTGTTTGTTACACACAGAAAACTTTTGATAATTTAAAATTTTTTTAATGTGTTTGGTTATGTTAATTCGAGATGAGTTAAAAAGAATATTTTCAATTGAAAATTGTTGAAAATGTTAAATAGCTAGAACCGACTTAATGTATATCTTTTAAAAATTTTTATTGTTTGACAAAAGTAGCCTATGCTAGTTAAAGTTTCTTTTATACATCTTTTTTTTAACTCTTACTGAATTTAAAATCTGTAAAATTTCATAAATCTCTTTTGCAAAAAATAAAATCAAAAAATTTATTCAATTATTAATCATTAGCAGTATGCAAAAGTGAGTACCCAAAAAATTCAAAACTAAAAATTTAACAATGAACTTTTAGCATTCAAATTTGCCATTTGTCATATGGCATCCAAGTAACTGATAGTCAGGATGACGAAAGAAAATGAGGACGTAATAAAAGATTTCAGCTTTCTGCATTGGAACCAGACCTTGTGGCATTACCTGTAAAAGCCCAAGCATTCTTAAATTGGGAGCTTGATTAAGAATAACAAAAAGAGCACCTGTTCCATGATTGAGGATATGCTGTTAGTCAAGAGCAAAACTTTTCTGGAACTAATTGCATATAATTCTTATTGGATTAAAATGACTACCAAATAACTAAGTTATGAAGAAAAGGAATGTTATACGCTTAATGATAATAACATATCACTTTATGCTTAAGCATTAAAATTAACTACAAAACTTCAAAGCATAATGTCTTGATGTTGTTAACTAAACAAATAGTGACATTTGAGATCAAGTACCCAACAATATATCACCTCATTTGCTACAAGATATCAGGTACCTAAACCTGACCAGATAACTAGCAATGATAGAGGTTAATCAGACTCCTATCTGGAAGCAGCTATCTATTCTTTTTTTCTCCTTTACCACAAGACAGCAAGGTTTCCTGCAATAAACAGGGATAGTCTCTAACATTCTTTGTCATTATACACCACCTAGATCACAAACTATCAATTTTAAGATTTCACTATGGAAAATTAACCAATAAGAGCATGTGTTAACTTGTTTGGAAGTTAAAACTTTATAAAATCTTAATATAGGAAACTCTCTGCTTGTAAATTCAAAAGGAATATTCTCTGCATGAAAATGTCTTGTTAAATGATACAGCTAAACTATCCTGGACTACAAACTAGGTCTGTATCTTTTCGCAGGATTGGTCTTTAGCACAAAGCCATCTAATTATTTCTTTGCTATTATTAGGTATATTCTTTTCACTTTTTGACAAAATCCAGAAAACAAGCATTACAAGCATTGTTGTGATGATCAATACACTTCTAAAAAAGTATAATTGCTTTATCACATAGAAGATATTTATCTAAAAACTCGAAAACATATACCTAGCACACTCACACACATTCACGCACAGACAAAGGCTATAACAAATATAGAAAGTATCCAGAAGCACATATATCACAAACAAACAATTAAAGGTTTATCATGTCCCAAAGCTTAAAATAAATGGGGCAAAATTAGGTGAAAAAAAGAAAAAGACTTGTTATCTGACCTAGAGAAGTACTGAATCCACCAACAAGTGAGAGAGCAAGCGCCACCATCACCTGAGAATCCATGGAAAATCTTGCTTCTCTCTATTGCTCTACCCCCAAAACAAAAAGGCGAAGTAAAAAAGAGTTGAAATTGGTAGTTGAGATTGATAATTCTTGGAGGGTTTTGGTGGGTTTGGACTGATATTGACTACTGACTACCCAAAAACATATGCTTAGGAAGATAAGAATAATAATAATGAGTAATTGTGAAAGACAGACCCTTGAATAAAGCAATGGAGAAAGAATAATTGCAGAAAAAGAAAGAGATTAATTGACAGAGAGGTTGAAGAAATAGGATGCTGATCAAGTTGAGGTATGAGTATTAGGGTGTTAAGTATTAACGACCATTTTCTTGCTCTACAGTCAATACCTAACGTCAACCCATTGTTTTATGCAACTTCTTGTATTTTTCATTTGTTGGATTCCTTTCTCTCCTGCTCTGATTACGACTCAAAGCTCAGAAAAGGGAAGAGGTGACCGAGGGCCCTTCTACGGCCCATCTACCTCGAGCTTAATCCTTGTCCCAGACTAACTGTTTTGAATGGCTGCATTTAGTTGACACGTGTCACTCTAATTGCCCTCCCATTTCCTGACATTTGGCAATTAAATGTTCGATGGACTTTGGGTTATTATTACTAAAATTGTACTCGAGTGACGTTTTAAATTTTTTTTCACATTCAAATGACTCTTAATCTCTCTCCCAACTGTCAAATTTTTTTTTGAAAAATTATGAAAAATAACGTTTTTTATAATTTTAATTCAAAAATATTATTTTTTATAATTTTAATTATTTATAGTTAATTTTTTACATAATTTGATAATAATACCTTTTAAATAATTTTAGACAAATTAAATTAATTTCAGTTCTTCTATCTCATCATCTAGATAAAAATTTTAAAATTAAATTTTGATTTCTCTCTGATCAAATACTATCTGTCTTGCCACGCAAAATGTAAAGATGACATCAAATGTTTTCTTATTTTATTTTTACTTTTTTGGATGATGGATCTTAAGGTTCTTAAGGATGATGAACAGCGATTTTGCTCTTCTATGGTGATTGCTAATAGCATGATAAATGTAGTAACTAAATGTTTTCTGGTAATAACTTGCTTTGAAACGTGTACTACAATGAAGATGTTTGTGTTGATAAGTTGGATCGAATTGGTTAAGATGATGGGCTTAAGGAGAAAGAACAATTAAAGTATGTTTGATGAGTTTTATGGTGGTTCATAGTTTTATTGTATTTGGGATTGGGATGGTTGTTAAGCATGTTTGTTGGTATTTTGATTCTTTTTATAAGATTTTGAGTTAAAATTGTTTAGGGAATATTTTGTAAATGAAGCATATTTTGTTTTTGCATAAGGTTCCCGATAGGGATATATTTTGGCTTGCTTTGTAAGGTTATAGAGTTTTGTAACTTATTTTTTATGAAATATACAATTTCCTAACTTAGCAAAAAAAAGTATGTGTTTTCGATTATTGAGTTTATTGGTTTATTCATAGAATCAGGATTTAAAATTGATTAGACTGATTTTTAAGTATTACGTGATTGATTTTGGACATTACGTGATTAGTTTTTAGGCATTGTGTGACTATTTTTTAAGCAATACATAAGTCACACAATGTCTTACTAACTAGTCATGTAATGCTTTACTAACAAGTCATGCAATGCTTTATTAACAAGTCATGCAAGGCCTTACTAACCAGTATACAATACTTAAAAACTAATCGCGCAATGCTTAAAAATTAATCAAGTAATACCCAAACCAGTCACACAATGCTCAAAGTCAGTCATGCAATATCTAAAATTTAATCACGTAATACTTAAAAACTAATTATGCAATGCCTAAAAACCATTAAAACTATTAAATTCTATTTAACAAGATCAACAACTTCAAACGATACATCATATTTCATTTATGCGTACTTGACAAAAAATATTTAAAATGTTTAAAGGTTTTTTTTTATATATCAAAAATCACTCCAAAAAATTTAAAGATACTCAAAATACTTAAAAATTTTCTTCGTATGTTAAAAATTACTTCAAAATATTCAAAATATTTAAACGTTTTTCTTTCTAGTGAAAAATACTTAAGAGATGAATGATTTGGTGAGGAAAATTTAAAAGAATATGAATTGCTTTAAAATGTAAATTTAAACATACTTGACTTATTAATAAATTTTGAATTGAAGGTTAAAGCCAAATGAATAAATTATTTTATTTAAATTTTAATTTTTTATTTAAAAATAATTAAAATTATAAAAAAATTATTATCAAAAACGCTTTACGTATAAAATTTGTAAAAAAAATACTCATTTTTTTTATTCATTCAACCACTCCCACTCATCAAGTATTGACTGGTCGTCTTAAATTAGTAACCATCCAGAGCACGTCACGTCTCAAACCAAACAGAGCCACGAAGTGACTAAAGCTGGAATATGTTATAGATTTGAAAGAATAATTTTTATTGGTTTACAAGATTGAACTGATGTGAGGGGTTATTTTAATAGGGCTTAATCTGGGTATCTTTTCTACCAGGCAGGGGAAGGGAAAACTTCTTAAATCAAAAAACAAAGTTGTTAGGCTTTCACTGCTGTATTTTGGTTTCTTGACGTCAAAATGGCTCGATTCTCCATACCCAGGGAATCATTGGTGAGAGATTTTGCTTTTATCTCTCATTATCTAGAAGAGTTTTTTTGCTTCCTCACCTTTTTCTTCTAGCTTTTCTTTCTCTTTTTTGGTTTCTAGAGTAGAGGTGAAGTTAAAGGATTTTAAAAGAAAAAATTAAATAATAAAAAAATTATATATAATTTAATTTTTAATTATTTAAAAAATTAAATAAAATTATAAAATATTAAACATATAAAAAATATATATTAACAATAATAACAATATCATATATATATATAACCAAATATAATTATAAAAAAAAAATTTTTTATTTTTTGCACGTAACTCTTAAATGAATTACTTTTTACTTTATATATTTTATACGAAATGTTCAGTTTTTTGATAAAACTCTATTCTTATTTTTTATTTATTTTTTGAATTAGTAATTAACATATGGCTATTAAATTGAATTATTAAGATATGATATGTTATGATAAGTTATTGACATGAACTATTAAGATATAATATATTATGATATATTTAAATTTATATTATGACTTAACAAGTTTGAGTTAATAGACTCATTTTTATTTTTTAAAAAATTTGATAGACTTAGCATATTGAGTTAGAATTTGTATGATAACTAACAATATACTGGATGATTCTAATTTCATCAAATGGCTAAAGGAATATATATAATTAATAAAAAATTTTAAAATTTTTAAAGAATTGTTGTCTCATGATAAGATAATTTTATTATTTTTTATTTATAGTAATTATTATGAGAGAATTATTAAAAGTATATATAATATATAAAAACTTTTAAAAATTTTGGAAGAGTCATGGGACGCTAGGGCCCTATCTAGGAAATTCTTCCATTTTCGCTCAGTTTTTCAAAGCAAAGGAAAAAAAAAGTAGTTTTGATGAAATATTGTTTTGGAGGTTGTAGTTTTGATTTCTTTATTTTTTTTCAAGATCCATAAGGAATTTAGGATCTGTACTTTTGGCTTCTGTTCTAATTACGTTTGATGTAACTCTTAGAAATTTGCTCTAAATTTTCTTTCAACTTTTGAATCGGTTTAAGTTGCTTAGTTTTGTCCTTTGAAGTTTTCGATTTCTGTTTCTATTTTCAATTACAGTTCATCTCTGTTCTGAATTTTAGCTGTATATTACAAGATTTTGGCATTTCTATTCTCCAGACTTTCAGCTTATGGCCTTTTCTTTTTGTTTTTTGTTCATGGCTATCTTTTTCTTGGTCTGTTGATGAAACTTTTGAGGCTTTTTACGGTTTAAATTTGCCTTTTATTCCTTTTTTTTTCAATTTTATATTATGTTCTTATTGTGTTATTTTTATTTGTCATCTGTTTTTTTTTAAGGTGTTTTCGTCATATGTTACATTAATTCTACCAGTTTTATAAATTTAACATGTGTATTAAAAAAATCTAACTTATATATAAAGTTAATTTTAAATTTATTTATAGTTTAACTCCATCTAAGTAACAATATTATAATATAACTCTTAACTAGATATTGTAGTTAATAATAGTATTATATAATAATAATAAGTAAATAATTTATATAATTTGTTAGATCACCGAACTGGAAACTATCAAAATGGCTTTAAGGTATGTAATAGTATCATTGTCCTTACGATTTTATTTGCCTTTACTAATTGTGTGCAAAAAGGTTACAAGTGATAAATATTGATAATACAATAAAACCGATTAATGTATGGTAAAATTATCTAGACTTTTATATGATTTTTTATAGTAAAATGATATAAAAGAAAATCTAAAAAATATTGCAAAGAAAGGAAGGGTTTATTGTTTCAAAGGAGGGTTTTATTTATAAGCAATCGAGATAGTTTTTCAACAAATACAATTGTATCTATTTCAGATAAAATCTATTTGAAAAAAAAAAGAAAGGGAATTTTTTTCATTATTTTGTGTCTTTTTTATTTCAAAGAATGACCTTATTTATATGCAATAGAGATAATTTTTCAACAAACACAATTGTAACTATTTCAGATGAAATTTATTTTTGTCTATTTTTAGACAATTATTTTTCAAATCACAAATATAATTGTTCTGTCTGTTTTCAACAATTACAGTTATCTATTGAAAAAAATTAAAAATTATTTTTAATTGTTTGCCAGTGTCAAGTATTGTTATAATTAATTAAATATTAAATTTAATTATTTAAAGCTCACCCAAGTCTAGAAAGCCCATCCACGATCCATTGTCTACTTAAATCTAACTATAATGAACTGTGTTTTCAATGTGGGATTGTGTATCACATTCATTAGTGTTGAAAATATCTAATATAATTATCTTCATCACGCATTCCTTCATAAATTTGTGATTATTTGATTAACTTAGAAAATAGTGTTTGTTTTATTTTGATCTTTAAATGGAAGCAATACTTTCATCAAATTTGTGATTATTTTATTAGCTTAGAAAATTGTGTTTGTTTTATTTTGATCTTTTAATGGAAGCAATACTTTGATTTGATTTGATTTGTCATTGGCATTATTTTTTTACAGTTTATATTGAAATTAATAGATCAGATGCTCATTAATAATTTTCAATACGCTCATTAATGTGCTTCTTGCAGTCTTTCCATTGAAAGTAGCATGTGTTCATTTAACTATTAATAAAAAAATATTATGCTTATTCATAATTTTAATTACTCCAATTAAAAATAATAAATCCACCTCTAGTGTTTTAGAAAAAAAAAACTAAAAAAACTTATTACAATTATATAATCTCAATTATGGAATTTAAAAACTTTAGAGATGTATCATAATAATCTTATTATAGTTTAACCTAAGAAATATACGACAAGAATTTAAGTTCGA